GTTTTTTTGCTCTTTAGACAATCTTCTGCACTTTGGACAAATCTTCTGCTCTTTAGACAGCTCAGTGCTGAAGAAAAATGGAAGCCGAAGGCTGGGTCTCACCGTTGTATATATACAAGGTGCGGACGTAGGAGAGGCCCACGCTGTGGGTGGGCGTAGACTAAAATTCTCAGTGCCGCGCAGGCGCGCGGAAGGGGTAAACCCAATAGCGATAGCCTTAGAGGGCTACGCCTATACGAAATAGAAACGTAACAGATCACGGGTCTCTGTTATGTGCACACCTCCGACTGTCCGGGCACTGCACTTCCGCAGTTCCAAAGGTTCCGCCATTTGCGTTCCGTGAACATTATAGTATAATACAGTATAGTATACTTCTTTGCGATGCGGACGTGGAAGATTCTGAATTGATTATGAATGAGAGAGAGCGAGCAGCAGAACGTGACGGTGAAAGTTAGCAGAAGAAAATATTTAGTCAGTCTGGCAGAACATGTGCAGTGTAGGTCACAGTCTGTCTGTTAAGTGTGTTGTTTCCGCAACTGCTGGAAAAGTGAAGGCAGTTAGCGCTAGCTAACAGTATTCCCATTCAATTACTTTAAAATGTCTTTTAATAGGCTACCTTTTGTGAAGTGGTTGTCTTTAATTGTCCACTGCATCTGTTAGGGCCTGTCCATAGGCTCGCCATTCATCTGTGACAACATCTGAGCCTCTTCTTACATGATTGTTGGTCGGCAACAGGTCTTCTCTTGAGCGATCTCTCACCACCTTGACAATGCGTTTTCTTGATGTAATTAAGTTGTGTTTTTTTGCTAAACTGTAAAATGTTCAAAATTCATACAGATTCATAAAGTGAAGAAACGTAAATAAAAGTTGTTTTCCTGCGCAAAATGTGTGTCACTTTACTTAAAACAATTACGTGTTATAAGGTCTTATAATTCATATGGTATTATGTCCACCTGTAATATATTATACAGGGATAAATATTTTAACACTTTACTTAAAGCAAACACACACACACACACACACACGCACAATAAATAATCTGTAATGCAATAGAATTGTGCGTTATATACTGCAAATAAATGCCACTATTTTAATTTTATTGCTTTATTTAATGTCAAATGATTATATTATTCGTCATGCTAAACAAATTTGTTTTCATTTATCAATTTACGCATCCATATATGTATCTATAAAACAGAAACGATACCTAATTCTAACCAAGAAAGGGCAGAACAAAGTTTTGTAAACAATGGTTGCCGACTTCATTTTTGCAAGGCTTCCAATCTGTCCACCTATGCAGTTTCTGTTCCATTTATGTGATCAGCCCAACTTGAATTAAAGAACACACTCATTACCTCAAAAGCTTCCTGCTACCCATCCCAAGATAACACAAATTAAGGGCAGCACACCTGTTGGCAAGGTCTTAATATTAGACGTGGCCCCACGGGGACCAGTCTGTCTCCAGCTGTCATCTTGGGCAGGTGGTGTGCCGGGGCAGCTGGGAGGAAACAGCGGACTGCTGGGCACCAGGTGGATATCCATTACAGGGGAGGTGGCAGGGGATACAAAGGAAGCAGGTTTCTCTAAGAGAGCTGGAGGAGAAATACAACATCAGTAATTCAGGTTCTTTCCCACTGGAGCTCTGGGCATACATTCTGGTAGATACATCATTTCCCTACTTGACTACATGACCTTTTACTGTACTACTGCTAACATTTCTAACAAATCCCTGTTATTCAATGGCTGACAGTATGACAAATTTTAATTCAAATATTTACAATATAACCAAGAAATATCAAGAAGCACAATGCACAAATATACGGGGCACACATTTTTAAGATTACATTATTTAAATCAAATAGTTAAAACTACTTTATGACCTCTAATCTGATGCTGAACTACTACTGGTCTGGTGCAATATGAACTGAGTTCTTCTTTACACTGGCTTATAGAGACAAAATGCAGTCATTTGGTTTTTAGTTTTTTATATCTGTTTTACTATATAAAAAATTATGTTTAATTTCTGCTTTTTGAATTTGCAGTAACAACAAATCAGAGCTCAAAACTAAGCCAAAGCGCCAGACTACTACCAAAGTAGCCAATAGCTAACAGCTAAAGCAACAGCGCTGTATCAAGTGAAAGCTAAACTAAAGCTAAATTTAATAAAATATCAATTTCACTTACATTACACTAAATAAAGCAATAGCGAAATCTAGATAAACCAGCTAAACTCCTGCTAACAGCAATTAGCTTAGCTGATCTTTGTGACTGGCTTCCATTACAACACACATTTAAATGTATTAAATTGTAGATTAATATGTTATATTGACTTCAATATAAATGTTAACAGCAGTGGCACAGACGGACACCTGCAATTCTGTTTGTAGATGCTGAAAATTATCAAAAGAAAGAGTGCAGTATTTTGGCATAAAACAACCAGCCTAAAAATATATAAAATGAAGGTATTACCTTTCGCTTCTTCTACACTTCACTGCTTCTGTTGGCACTGCTGGCACAGTACAATTTATAGTGCAGTTTTTCAACACCAAACACCTAAAGCAGTATTAACCTTGTAGTTTGTCCTGCAGCAGCACCATCTGTTCTGTCTGCTTCAGGTTGGCCATTTTCAGCTGCTGGTTCTCTTGCTCCATCTGCAAGAAAGCACATATACGTCTTAAACCACAACTTTTAGCAGCCATATACAACTGTTACACTGAAAGGAATTAAATAGTGTAGTTTTGGAGTAGTTTGTTTTAACTCAACAGTAAACCTGATATTGTGATATGAATTTTCAAGTAAGTGCTATGCTTCTTAAAACTGCTTAATTAGAGTGTTTCATTGGGTCGTCATTTATAAATGAGCATTTTTAAATCCTATGTTTGCAGATAGAACGAAGGCATATAAACAGCTGTAGATATTACACTTTCAGTCATAAGCATCTCTTGTGTCCACAGATAATGTCTCTCTGCAGGGTGAGGGCTTTCCCAGAGGCTCTAACTTAAGTCAGGGGTGTATCTATACATGTGTGAGCTTACCTGTCTAAGCTTAAAGGTGACCCAGTCTTTAATCTTGGCGGCTTTCTCCTCAATAATTTTTGCCTCCTGGGCTCTGACTAAGATCTGTAGTCAGAGAAAACAAAGTTGGTGGATTATTTCAACTTACATTTTATGAACATAAATGGACATTTCTGTTCTTTATCTGACAGCTCCATTCATACCTGTTTTTCCAGCTGCATCTCTAACCTCTTTATCGCGTCATCTTTTTCTTGAACCTGACTGGTTAGGTCTTGATACTTTCTGTACAACGAGCTCTCTGATTCGCTGGTTTGTATGTTTGCAGACTTCAGCTTTTCTTCCATGACATGGATCTGAAATGCATAATTAGAGGAGTGAACACACAAACACGGCAAAAAGAAAGCTCAAATTTGATGCTTTCATTTAGTTTTGAGAGGCACAAAAAAAGGGGCACTTTTTGCAAACTCTGACAAGAAAAAGCTGCCTAATCCCATAGGTATTTCTTGTTTTTAAAGAAAGGGCACCATTTAATTACCACCTACAGAAAACACCTGGAACAGCCAGTAATGACAGCAAATCGGAGATTGAACACAAGAGCAAGAGAGACAGAGTGGTGTGTCATCTGTGCTGTTTGAGTGTACTACTTAGTGGTTAGCAGTCCAACAAAATCCAACTGACTGTGTGACTGTATGGATACCAATTTTAGGATTTTTTCTTACATCCACAATGTTGAGCATGAAAGTTCATTCTTGATCTTATAATCGGTAGTTTGACAAACAAAAAAATCTTGATTCAAGGCCCACTTACAAGCTTTTTCCAAAGCTTTCAATCACAAATCAGTCTTTCTTATGCACAAATGCACAGGAAACAGTAGAAAGCATTACTTTTTTTGACATCTTTTACTGGAAGATATTTTTTTCTAATTTGTTTGCTACTTGCCTTGGGCTGTAATCAATGCCTCTTTCACTCAGCATTTTCAATATGCTGTTGTATACTAGCACTGTCTCACACTGCCAGTCTCCCTATTTCCTCCTCCCCGCGAAGTTTTGCATCTTGCACAGTACAAAGAACACATTATTCCCATAGCCAGGAACATTATTTATTGTTTTTTACAGCCAATTTACACATAGTATTGCTCCACAAAAGGGGTGAAAATTAAGTTTCCATCACTGCCCATCGAAGCTGGAGCCGTTAAATAATCACTACTGCAGAGTCATTTGACCCAACAATGCATGCAGATTGTACCATTTCCCACTGAAGACAAAAGCTAGATGTGAGTGGGTGTGGAATATTACATTACCTACATTTAGCAAATAAATCCAAAGCGACTTACAAAAACTACATTTAAACTCAAAAAGGAACAAGAGAAAAAAATATATCATGAGAAATTGGAAATTGGATCCCAAAAGCATGTTCAGAGAGCTCTGGTGCAAGTGCTTACTTAGGGCTTTCAAAGTTTAACCAGGAAGATAGTCTGTAATAACAAACATTTTGGAAATAATTTTATAGCTCAACTTCATATTCTTCATATTCGTTTAGCTAACCTGGGGGTTTGTTTACAACCTGTGTGACCACATGATTGCGCATGTTGCTTGCCATGTTGGACTTAGAAATTAACTCAGTGAGTACAATGCTATGATGGCCAAAATTACAAGAAAATAAGATCCAAGTTGTTAATAAAGAGGAATTATCCTTTAATTTTTCACAAACAGTGGTCTAAAGGATGAGAGCTGCCCCTGTACCTGTTTCTCAGCACTCTCAGCCCGCTGGTCAGCCTCCATCACCCTCTGCTCCAGCTCCTGCATCTGGAATAGAGACAAAAGAGATTCCTCAAGAGTTAAATTTCATTTAAAGAAGACCAACCGTGTTAGGAAAGAATTCTTAGTGAAGAGAATCTTGCTTAACAAAGAACAAGAAAGGCGTGTGGACATTTACATAGGAGGTCCATAGACATTCTGCAGAAGCAGCAGAAAGGTCATCAGAGGAGGGTGAAAATCTTTCACAAGAATGCTACTATGCATGTGTGCACAAACTTGCGTCACCTTTTGTGCAAGCATGCATACTCATGCTCTCAAGGGCAAACACCATCCATCCTGCAAGTAAGCACACATCTGCAAAGTTTAACCCAGGACTCCATTTCTTCTGAGTTCAGTGACCCAGGTGAAAGGAGAACAAACACACTAATGGATTCACTCTGCTTGAGAGATGCATTTGAATTCCTCCCTCCATCTTTGTTTCCCTTCCCTTTGTTTCGTTCTTTCTCCCTTCTCGTCACCTCCACAAAAGTCCCCCCCGAGTTCCCAGAATCCACCACTCACAACATTTAAACACTTCCTCGCATCCAAATTCACACTCGCTAGAGCCAGAGCGCATGTTGATGGTTAGTGGTTGGATGACTCTTCACCTCGAGGTCAAAAGCCTTCAGCGTGAGTCAAAGGATTTAACGAAGTTGAGCCAAGGAGCAAACAGCGCCTTGTCCTCCGTTCAAAAAACAAAAATAGGAGAGGCAAACAAGCACTTTAAGTAAACATAAAGTACCTCAGAAGTCAAAACGTATAACAGATGTGAGAAGTGGTCATCAGAAGACAGCCTGAAAGCCGCCACATCCAGTTTGAGTCATGGGATGTGAAGTGTGAGCTAGCATGGCGAGTGTGAAGCTGACAAAGAGGCCAAGTGGAGGTGTATGAGAGAACGTTTATATCAGGACTGGGAAGCTTCTCACAGAGAACAGCTTAAGCATCACAACTGGGGTTTAAGTGGCTTCCTTAGGGCAATTTTTGGCAGTTGAGTAGAAGGATGAGACCATGACCATGTTCCCACAGAGCCTCTTAGATGAACTCGAGAACACCTTCATCAACACCACCTGCCATGTTGATTTTTAATGGATGTCGCTGAACATTATTTACTGTATGAAATGTTTTTGCATACAGTTGTTACAAAATAATACATTCCTTCAAAAAACTGATACAACTACAATTGAACTGTCCATGGTTGTCTGGGTCACGTTTGCATTTCTACTAGTGGCAGAAGCTCTTTCAACCATTTATTTGCTATTATTAGTTATTTCACCAGAAAATTAAGTGCTTTAGCTATCTTAACTGTTTATCCACTACATTTAGCTAACCTTTTTATCCATTACTTTGACTGTGACTTCCTACACAGTCTGAGCAGTCAAATTGGTGATCTGAAGGTAACAAACTGGCTTCTTAAGGCTATCAGGTACAGATGCAGACTGTGTAAGCTAGGGCTGTCAGTTTATATCTTGGTTTAGATACTGCAGAGTGCAACTGTTGAGGCCTAAATCGCTGAGCAGGCATGACCCAACTATGCCTGCAATACAGCATCTGTCAGGCCACAGTGCAACACAGTAGCTTCTGCTGCTGAGAAGGCTGAAAATGGATGAGGTGGAAGTCATGTTTCATAAAGCTTTGTATTAGTAGTTTGAGTTGCATTTATCATCTGATTTAAGGATAAGTCTCTGAATTTTCAGTATTTTTACTGTCAACAAATCCCATTAAACGACTAAAGCCAACAATTAATTGATTTTTCTAGGATCACTGGATAACATCCACCATTACTAGAACATTGATACTGTAGTTAATTTGGAGTCAATCCCACAAACAATACGTTTCCTCCTGCTGCTGCAAATACTCAATAGAGCACCAAATCCGTGATGAAAAATTGTCCCCAATAAATGCACAATTTCTCTTGTTTGAGTAACTTTTGCTAAAAACTACAGTGTCAAAGCTGTTTTAGGAAATGATTTACCCATTTTTTTAAATTAAAGCACATATTTGTGATTTACCCCGCGACCCTGTACGTAGGATAAGCGTTTGACGATGGATGGATGGGATTTGTGACTTAAATCTTCAGAAGGAAGAAATGGGCTTGAGGTTAAGAGTCATTCTCAAAAGTAGTGAGAGAAACTAATGCGTTGTTGGTTTTTGTCTTTTCATGAAATTAGTTGACAATAACAAAAACATTTAATATCACCAATCTTACCCTGTGCCTCTTAGCTGAAAATAACAGAGCGATGGGTAATCTTCCATCCATCGTCAACCGCTTATCCTGCGTACAGGGTCGCAGGGGGCAGGAGCCAATCCCAGCTGACTTCGGGCAAAGGGCAGGACAGATCGCCAGTCCATCGCAGGGCCACACATAGACAAACAACCATGCACACCTTAGGACAATTTAGACCCAGAGAGAACCCCCGGGGAGAACATGCAAACTCCACACAGAAAGGCCGGGACGACCAGGGTTCGAACCCACAACCTTCTTGCTGTAAAGCAACAGTACTAACCACTGCACCACCAATTTTGTTTTTGTATTGAGTTTTGCAGAATTAGCTTGTGGGGAAGCAAAGTGTCGGCACCCTCTGTCTTGTAGTATGGATTCCAGAGGGACAGATAATATCCAGGGAGGTGGAGATAAGATGAGGGCTGGCTACAGACACCAGATCATCTGCTCCCCAGATAGCTAATAGATCTTTCACAGCTAAATAAGTGTTTACCGTTACTGCCAGACACTAACAGACAAGAGATCTGATCCTATAGATTGGATTATCCTGGTTATTCAGTCATAATTTTCCTTCAATTTCACCCCCTCAATTTTTTTAAACAGTTCATGCGATCAGGATCTGAAAATCTGTCGGTTAAGCTGGTCTTTGTTTACTTGTAAGCATTGGCAACACAGGTCACACATACAGTAGAAAAGGCAGAAAAAAAGTCATCCGATATTGGTTTCTCTGTGAAGTATCAGTTCACTGAGTGCTTTGCCTGTCCCTTAAATTTAATCATTAACCCTTGTGCACAGCTGATGGTTAGTAATGACTTTAGCTCAATGATTTAATGTTAAAACCCCTGTACAAAAGAGGGGAGGGAGAGTAGACAGGAAAGGGAAATAAGGCACTGGTAGAGAAAGAGTAAAATAAAAGCATGTGGGACATCAGCACGTAATTTCAAATAATTTTCTCTAAGAATTACATTAAATAGATATTGACATGGAGACAAAACAGAGGGTATTTTAATGAGTGAGAGAGCTGATAAAGTGCTCATACAAACACAAGTAAAATACAAGACAAAAGCATAAAACCTCGCAAACTCTTAACCAACAACCCTCAGAGGGTTAAAGCTAACAAACCTAAAAATGAAAAACAATCTTAAGGCAGTTGAACTATTAAAAAAAATATGAGATGATCCAAAAAAAAAAGCCCCTCATGAAAATAAATGTTTATACACACGATTGTGAACCAAGTGACCTTTCGGGAGTCTTCCTCGCTGACTGATACCAACGGTCTGAGTCAAACAACAGTATTTTGCTCCTTGAGCCACATGAGGCTTATAGAAGAGATTAATGTAATTTGTTCAGTATTAGATTATCCAAGTAATGAAAGAAAACCTTGAAGGGGGAATACCGCTCAATAGAAAAATTCTTCTGAGTGAGGTATTTCTATATTCTGGGACAAAAATAAGTACATTTGAAACTCTAAACCAATTTCTGGATGAATTTCCTCAACGCTGTTTCCCAACAGCCTCAATGAGGATTTCGATAAAGTCGTTCTCCTCTTCTCTTAAAGGTCATTCCCTGTAGAAAACATGTTCAGACTGTAATGCTTTTTTGGGCCAAATTATGTATTGTCACTTCGGCATCAGAAAATATACTATATATATATATATATATACACACACACACACACACACACACACACATACATATATATCTCTATCTCTGCTTCCCGCTCTCTGCCAGTCATTTCTGTATGGGGAAATTTCTGTTTTTATAAGCCACCAGCTGACAGCTGTCGATTGCACTTTCCTAATCCACAATAAAAACTCAAAAAACTCTTAAATGGAGTACTCATCCTGTTACACTCCTCACAAGGCAAATGGGGCATCTCCTTCTCTCTCTTCTCCCCTCACTCACAGTCAGGCTCTGCGGATAAATGCCATGTCACAGGCAACCACGTCAACTTTTTTCTTCATGTTTTTCCATACCAAAGTGGGTCAATGCGCAAAACACTCCTAACTTGGCAAGAGAGGGGATGAAGAGCGTGAAGCAGACTTTCCAAACAGCAATAACATGACGGAATGGTAGTCACTCAACACCCCTACACCCCCCAAAAAAACTCAGAAAAACACACTCAGCAGTACGGGCCTTAAACATCGCTCTTGTGTATTTGTATCAGAATGCATATGCATGCATGTTTATAAGAAAGACAAATGTGGAAGATTGATTAGCCTATTAAAAAAAGAAAGAAGTGGAACTCCTTTTCTTTGCTTAATGGCCAAAAAGGACATTTAACAATAAATACTGTGCTGGGTATTAACTTGAATGTTTTTACGAGAGAGGGGTGAAGGACAGTAATTAGTCCATTTTCAGAAAGCTTGAACTCCCTTCCATTCTTATCTTAATGGCTGAAATGACATGGGGCGCTAAGCGTAAGTGTGTATGTGTGAGTGTGGGTACCACTTCTATTAAGATGAGGAAAGCTGCAATTAATGGCTTTATTAGAAAGGGATAAAGCTGGCATTAGTCTACATTTTTCTTACAGTCAAAAAATCCAGCCCGTCCTCGCCAGAAAAACAGCCGTAAAGGTTCATTATTATATCTTATATTTACGTTTTTTGTTAAGCCATAACCTCTAGTGATGGAAGAAGTCAGGTTGGTTTGTATAAAGAGCATCTGTGTAAGGAGGTGGTGGAGTCGATGGATTTGTCAAACTAAAGGACTTTCACTTAGGAGACTGAGGTTTGAGTCTCGTGTAAAAAGAAATCATAGCTGACATTTTTTAAATAACATTTTGTATATGACTTACGTAATGTACTTATTTTAACCCAAACCACGAGCGTTTCATAAACCTAACCATGAAGTTTTGTTGCCTAAATCCAACCAAACTACCACCGTTTCACAACATTTACGATATTTTAAATACCATGTGACTTATTTCACTAATAGTCCGGTACCCCTTCACTGGACTGGTACTTGCCAACACTTGTACATGTCGTTTTGGGGAACAATCATATGTTGTTTACTTGTACAGACATTATCATTTTGGGGCACTTGACAATTAACCTATTTATTTGTTTAGGTATAAGGACATCCATCCATCCATCCATCGTCAACCGCTTATCCCGCGTACAGGGTCGCAGGGGACTAGAGCCAATCCTAGCTTACATTTTGGGCGAAAGGCGAGGTACACCCTGGACAGGTCGCCAGTGGTATAAGGACATGTTGAAAAAAATCCCACAAAAAGACCAAAACCAACAATACGTTCACAATCCCTCCACCTTTTAGAACATGCTGACTTCCATACCCTCTCTGTTGCACTTAGCCCCAAGCACACTTTGTCCTACTGAAGACATAAATCTTCAAAAACAGCTCACAAATGTGTACTTTCATTTAAAAAAGGCTGAGTAAGCTGGACACTGTAGCTTTCAGTAAATGTTACTAAAGCAGGAGAAAGCAGTTGTTGAAGGACAATTTTCAGCTGCAGATTATTACACATTAGGTGCTCTAGTATTATTTAGCGTATGTAGGATTCATCTGTTCATTAGCCTGCTAACTTGGGAAAAATCCCTTTGGTTTTGGATCCTCCTCCAAAAATATTGTTGTGGAAGAAGCCTTTATTAATGACTCTAAGTTATAAATGTTTGTGTGTGTTGCATTGGATCTCACAGTCAAGCTGGAGGTCTGACAGAACCTGCCAGAGGACACAGCAGGGAGTCGTCCTGCCCTTATCAGACACGGGGTTATGTTTGGATTGTAAACATCCCGCGGACTGACTGAACCACACTACTACTCCAGAATTAGAAATGATACAGAAAGCATACAACTGTGACACTCAAAACAAAAGCAGTTCCAAGCTATACGAGTCTATAAAGAACAGCCACTTGTGAAGTTACAGAAGAAAACTGAACTGAAAACTGCAGAAAAGTCAAGACAGGAGAACAGTTTTTCTGCTAATACACTCATTCCTCCTTCCCCTAATCCAAACACTTCCACTCTTTTACCAACAAATCTTCAGAGTAGAGCTGAACCTCCTAATGACAGCTGATTACTTTCCAAAGTGTCTGGTAGTCAGGCTTTACAACAGCCACGAATTTACAAGCATTTGGCCGGCGGCTGGTGGTTATTTCCACAACTTGAGGGGAAGCAGCAGGAACGATGATTTAAATGTTAAATATTCATCTTGGATGAAACTGCAGCCAACCCCTAATGACACAGAATGAGTGGACCAAATGTTTACCAAATAAGCTGAGTAATCTCATCTGTCTTTATGCACACACATAAACATACAGTCACCCATACCTGTATTTCTAACTGATTCACATGCTTTATGCGCAAAACACTTAAAAACACCGCCAGAAGAGGAAGATGATGAGAAACTGACTTCTTCACAGTGTTTGGTCAGAATATATTGTGGAATGGTTTCTTTTGCAGATGAAAGTGGCCGACAGTTTACAACTGCCGAATAAGAGTCATGTCAAAACCATCAGTTCAAACATGTGACACGTGCTGTAGTTTAAGCTGAACAAAGCAAGCAAAATCTTACTGAAAATCCAGTTCTCTTTTCCTTCTGTCCTTACATAAATGTTTCTGAACTTCCTACGCCATTCCTTTAAGTGTTTTACGATAAACCTGCCACTTTCACTTACACACCAACAGTATTGGGAGTTTGCTATAGCTGTGGGGTGCCCTCATGGTTTAGGGATGAGAAAATGACTATGAATAGCAAATCCCCATCTCCACTATTGCTTTATAATAAAAGGCGTGAAATGCAAAAAAAAAGCAATCAACTTTGTAAACTAGAAGTCAGCGTCACGAGATGTAAAATGATAGTTTTAGACAACAATATATTAAACTTAACTGCCAATCTGTTTTATTTTTTATACATAGAGAAGTTTCAGAGTTGGTAGTATGAAGGAAAATATCAGACTGGACATGCCGAACATAACATAACTGACACAATTGATGATACATTATTTTATATTGTTTTTATTTTAATTTAACAGTATGTTAATCAATTTTCAGGTCAGCTATACTGCATAAACATATTCCATGTTGACTCTTTTATACTGTATTTTAGCTAGCTTATGTTAGTTTTGTCAGTTAAGCTAGCTCATTTAGCATACTTTACTACACAACACTGACACCTGGCAGTTTCTGGGTCTAAATATAGATTAGCAACTTGTTTCTATGTAAGAACTAGTATCTGTGGTGCGTCCTGTTTTAATTTATTATTGTGTTCATATCCACTTAATAAACACTTACATTATAACTATGTTTAAACATATGAAAAGTTGGTGCAACTGGCTCCAGAAGACTGAAATCCTTATTAGAAAAACTCTGCTTGCTGTAATTCCCATGCATGATGACTTTCGCTATTACCTTCTCTGCCAGCAGCTCTCGGATTTTCCCAGCCTGGATCCGGAACCTCAGCAGCTGCATCTCCAGAGCGATGCAGCGTTTCTGCCAATCCACGCTGGCCACTCTGACGGCTCCCGACCCACCGCTCTCCAGCACGTCGGCCATGGCGAGGATTCAGAGCTCTGCCTCTGGACTCAGACTCCACTGAAAAATGGAAAACACAAGTCTACTCAGCACTTCATGCTTACATACTGTATATGGTTTGTCTGATTTGAGATTGCTGTCAAGAGTATACTGTATTAGCTGTTGTGAAGATAATAACTTTGTCCTGAGTGACACATTTAACTTGAATCTAAAGTCTTTTTTCTTTTCACAGTAATAAGGAAGCAAATAACATGAATCAGCCCAAACAGGATCCACAAATATGGTATTTCCTCGAGTAGTCCAGCTTCTGTTTTCATTTATAGCACAAGAAAATAAAAATCTGACTTAACCCCTACAAATGCTCTCCGCTGACCACACTTCCCATGATTCACTGAGGAAATGTGAGTAACTCAAACACTAACGATGAGTCCACACTGACATGAGGTTAATGAAAGCTTCCTCTCACTTTCCGTGTTGCTCTGTGACTATAACTACAAAGAAACATTCATACGTAAACATGTCCTGTACAAAGAAACAGACAGCTTGGAGAGATATTGCCACAGCCGGAACTTTTCTTTCCTTTTCGTCCCCAGTCTCTCCACATGCCCACACACACTGAACAAAACCTCAGCAGGGAGGCTGTGTGTCGGTGGGGGAGTTGGGTTCATGCGTGCCGGCTCCCAGGCCTGCCAGCTACAAAGCAGGTCAGCGCTCTGCTTTTTAGCCAAATTACCTACTAACCCAATCCCCTGGTCTCTCCCACCTCCCCGCCCACAACTCCCTAGCCATGCAATCCCTTCTTAATTACAAGGCAAGACTGAAACGGGATCCCGCGCAGCACAATAGTGTCTTTCTGCATGACAGTCCCATCACAGCTAGAGAGGGGGGCCGTCAGCTCGCCTCGGCAAAGAAAGGAGGAAAGAATGTATGAGAATGAATGGGCCGACTGCTGAATGTGGGAAACTGGGGCGCTGAGGTTATTTTCACCTGGGGACGATTGACTAGTGGCTATTTTTTTCTGGGAGGATATTCATTTACAAAAGGTTAATACCCTACTGTGTGAACTCAATAAAAGTCTGATTATCTTGAGATAAAAGTAACAATAAGAATCAGCTTTGGGCTTTGAACTCGCAGGAGCCCAGCAATGACGCTGAGATGTGAGAGATTTTGAGTGAAAGTTTGCCTATCATTAAGTAAAAATGATACCAAAAGCAGTTTAAGAAAGTTAAAAAGTTAAGCAGTACTCAGACAGAAAGACAGACAGACTCAAAGTGCAGCCAGACACCGTCAGCAGAACAGCAGACATTCAAAGTCCAGCGACTATAACTGCACCATGGCACTCCCTACAATTAGCATGCTCATAAATACAGGCCTAGCAAACAAATTACAGAAGACATGCGTGTGGAGGTTTCGCCAGCCGACCGCTGTACCCAGGCTGGACAGTCATAGTCCAGCTACCGACGTCTCCTCTCTCTCTCTCTCTCTCTCTCTCTCTCTCTCTCTCTCTCTCTGGGGCAGACTGGTGTATGAAGGTCAAGTAAAGAGGGACGCCGGCATGGAGAAGAGAACGCTTGAATAAGCCCTGCTTGGCCACAGTGGGCAAGCCAGGACAGATGAGGCCAGGCCCTCTTCCAGAAGCTAACAGCTGGGTGTAAACAAGCTATTTGATGGTTAAACACTCAGCGCTGCCATGCTAATTCTCCCCGGAACAATTCCTATAACACTCCCTGCTTGTTGGACATGAGGGGGTTGTTACAGTTCATGCCAACCGGTGCCAGGGAGTGGATAATCAGCAAGTGTAAAGTTAAACTTTGTGCAGGATGAGGAAGGAAGGCAACCAGAGGTTACAAGAGGCCACTTCTCTCTGCATCGGTGTGCATAAGGACAAAGTCAACCCGACATCACCAGCCTGTCAAGAATGAGGTCAATTTCACTGTGTGTGTGGGTGTAATGTAGCTTTTGTTGCAGCTAAGATTTAAACTGGAGTAATTTTCTCCTTTTGCATGAGCATAACCCTCCATTGTGGGATGGTTTATAGGAACGCAGAAGACTGTTTTCCACTGAGTCTACTGTTATATACAATCTGATAAATACTCTTCTCTTCTGCATCTCCATCTGGCATATGCCAATGCTCGAAACATTCAGGTGTAGGGCAAGCTTTCCAGGTTCTCCTTGTTTGGTAATACCCAGGCCACCCAGAGCGGGCAGGCAGGGAGGTGCACAGATGAAGCCCAGAATGGTGAGTCCTCTCCTGGCTGCAGAGAGACACAAAGGCCCTGGGAGCTTCTCTACTTCCATTTAGCTGGGGGAACTTGCATGTAGCCGCAGCCAGAGCAAACACTGGGGAAGACGACTGAATGGAAACGCCACCGCAGCGATCCCAGCAGGATCGTTTCAACGTCTGCCATCGCCGAGAACTGCTTTTCCATTGACTAGACTTATACAGTTATGCTGCATTATTCCTCAGACTGAGTGAGATTTGAAATCCAGAGAGGAGAGTTTTTATTCAAAATGTGGAAGCTATCAGAGCTCGTTATAAAATTGTTTGGACGGGACAGTGTGTGGCGTTTCTGTCTGGCTGTTTGACTGCACCTTTGGTCAAAGGATCGAGGGCGTGTGCTGCTCTTCAGAGGATGCAAGGAGCACACGTCCTTGCACTGACTGAAACCCCCCTTAATCACCACATATTCAAACACACACTCCCCGGCCAGTCGTAACTCTTCAGCGCTTGCTTATCAGAACACAGACAGACATAGATGGAGATGCACACTGAAATAGATTGGAAACAGACACACACAGTCTGACACACTGCTGAGCATGCAGCTGCGGTGATGTAAGTGATTAGGTGGTTCAGTGATATCATCCCCACCAGACATTTCAAATCCCCACTGCTGTTGTCTCTGCTGAGGTCCAGCTTGGCTTCCCCACGTTTTTTGCATCTGACCACCACACACTCACAAAATAAAAAAAGACTCCCGTCAAACAGCACAGGAGCATATGTGTAAATCTGGGTCAGTCGCTGCAGATTTGTGTCAGCATGGCAGATCTCTGTGTACAAAAGGAGACAAAGACAAATTATCAGAGAACACGAGGAGTCAAGTATGGGTGTGTTAAATATTGCCTTATCTTCTGCTCTGCAACCCCATATGTTTAACAAAGGGGACCTCTGTCGACTCCCATCCGGCCAAGTAGGCCTCACGCTTTTGTTTAAATTAGTGCCTCACTATTTTGGTCCCATTTTGCAGCTACAGCTGGGATTTCTTCCTATAAGAGGGGGGTGTTGGTAGTGGCTCTCCAACACAGCTACAAATTTTTTAAACTTTGACCCCATTCTTGGAAAACAGAGGTTTAATGTAATTTGATGAAAAAGGAGAATGTTTTAAAAGTTAATAAATAACAGCGTGTTCCCTACTTTTTATTCTTATCTTGTAATAATTCAGATTCAAAAGGCAATTTCAACAGAGTAATTACTCAAATTAGACATTTAAAGCCCTACAGAGGCAAATGCAAGTCCTTAGCCTGTTTTTTTAAATCATGAATACACCTCAAGTTTATCCTAACATTTATCATCTTATCTATCTTGTCTTACTCCTCCTCCTTTTCCTATCTGCCTCATCCCTCCTCCTCCAACACCTCTCACTTTTTCACCCCCCTGCACTTGTTCCCCCTCTCTTTGCAGCACCTTTCCCACCTTCCTCTTCCCTCCCTCTTTCCTCCTCTTCCCTCCCTTTTCCCTTCCATCTTTCCTCTACTACATCCTCTCCTCCTACCTTCGCCAGCAAGCAAACCTGCAGCTCTCTCTCCCAGCTCAGGTTAATGACAAGCCTCAGCAAACTGACCTCACTCATTATCAGTCTCAGCCTTAAATACAGGCCCTGACATTCTTCTGTACTGAGGTGTAAACATCGACCTCTGCAGCCCTCCATCCTACACACACACACACACACACACACACACACACACTTCAAAAGTGTTGACTCTCCTGCAGCACTTCAGGGCATGGAGAAAGGCATCATTTTTGAAGGGGAAAAATCGCATGAGTTATAGCAAAAGACACACCCTACCATACACTGTGAGACAGAGATAATATATCTTCTCTTCATGCTTTAGCTTTAGAAGGTGTTATAGCTATGGCTGCTGCTGGAGGGGTCAGATTGATGTAGGCTATGGAGCAGTATGGACCATCATGATTTCTCCAGATGCGCATGATGAAGAGAAGTGTGCATATGTGGCAGACATACATATGCACAATTTCCTCTAAAGTCATGCAAATATAAACATGTTTTTTCCCCCCATTTCTGGATTCACATATAGACTTAATATAGCTTTAGTAATATATTTAGAGCTACTCCAAGACACGCATTGGCCGAGATTTTGTCCAAAAAAACCCACAAGGAACAGGTGTGCCAGGCGCTTAGTAGAATAGTAGCAACAGTAAAACCGTCGGTCAGCGAAAAAGAGTTCAATCAAACTTCTGACATCTCTCTCAATACTCCGCTGAAGCTGCGGCTTTTCTCCCAAACAACCTCCTGCGTCTTGGTTAAATGTGTCTTTTGGCATCTGCATTACAAACACTGCGTGACATGCTGGAAGCAAAGAGATAAATCGGCAGTTTGCTTCTACAGCAGAGCCCTTCACAGCTTCTTTACCTTGTATCTTTGTTGTCTCTCCCCCCCTTCAGTCGGCTTTCTCCGATCACGGACACCTTCCCCGGTAATTCGCTGCAATTGGGCTCATAACGACTTCTTCTTCAGTACGTTGACTTTCTGTCTGCTCTCAGTCCTCATTAGTTTGTTTGTCAGTGTTTCATGTCTTGTGTTGCCCTCGTCCCGCTGCTGTCCTTGGCTTTCTTTGGAGCGCAGACTTCAGTGGGACTCACTGAGCTCCATTCAACAGACTCATCCCATATTCCTTTAAAGGGCCCATTGCAGGATCAAATTTCTCCAGGAGTCAGGCCCCCCTTATAGGCAGGAGCGGCTCAGGATATTGCATTAAGGCTGCCTAGAGGTTTTTCTTCCAGGATGTAAACACGTTCTTGATTTCTTTGAGCTGATGTCTGAACCAGAGTTTAATTTACAGCTTTACACACTGAAGATTAAATATCCCCTTCAGATATGTTTTAAGATAGTATAAAAACTCTTGATTTGAATAATGATTAATTATGTATTAATCTTTTGGTTTTCCATTATCATGCTAACATGTTCACAACAACAACATTATGATGATGTGAAGCAGGCCTACTGTGTGTTCACCTGTTAGGCGTGTTAGCATGCTAACATTCGCTAATTAGCTGCACTAAACACAGCAAAGGGAATGTCATTAGCAAGTGTTCATGAATGTTGCTGATGATTGCCTATCAATTGGACAAACTGAAACTTATCGTTCAGTAACTATTCTACTATGATAGACATCAATATTTGACCTGATGGTGTGATGAAATGTCATTGGATCATCAATGCTAGTATGCTAATATACTCCCAATGACAATGCTAAGATACTGATTTTGAGCTAATGTTAGCTTATTTGTTGTGTACAACTGAGATGGGAATATCATTAGTACTAAGTATTTGGTCACAAACCAAACTAATGACACAATGAAAGTTTGACCTGATGGTGACACTAGATGAAACAAGTACAGGATTACCTACTACAGTTAATCCTGAAGGGGAAATTAGTGTGTGTTCCAAATTTCACACAATCCATACAATAGTTTTTGAAACATTTAACTTGAGTAAAAGTCATGGGATCACTAAAGTTATTAGGACATTGTCTAAAAACTTTCAGACTTTCATAGCAATTCATCCAGTAGTTGTTGAGATATTTCAGTCTAGACCAAAGTGGTGGACAGGCCAACACTGACATTAAAAACACATCTACTTTCCCTAAGTGAAAAAATCTAGAATCTCTGAATATATAAATATTTTTTATTTTAAAAGTCCAGCGGCTGGGCACAAATACGTCTCCTACTTCACTGAAAGTCCATTCTCATGCTCAAGTTTCCACATAGTTGCATATTGGACCACAAGCTAGTTGTGATGCCACAAAATCGACCGTGCGACTGTGGCTCAGGAAGTAGAGCGGGTTGCCCGTTAATTGAAAGGTTGCTGGCTCCTCCTGGCTGCATGTCGAAGTGTCCTTGGGCAAGATACTGAACCCCGAATTGCCCCTGGTGGCTGTTCCACCAGTGTATGAATGTTAGTTTCTATTTGAGCACTTAGGCTTGGTGGATGGTGAATGCAGATATAGTGTAAAAGCGCTTTGAGTGGTTGAAAAGACTAGAAAGGCGCTATACAAATACGGAGCATTTACATTTATAATCCTTTTGTTCACTCACATATATATGTGAGCAAGTATCTGCACTGTGAAAGTAAAAAAAATCCAAGTGAAGTAACAAGTAAAGCACATTTTTGAGTAGAGGGGGGGTCTTTAAGTGATTTGGAGAAGTCTGTTTATTACCTCTGATTAAAAATCAAGAATTAAAGACCACCATGAGTGAGCATTGAGAAGTCCAATTTTTAGGTTTTAAGTAGCCTTGCCTAATTACAGTACGTTGGTTTATTGGGAAGTTGTTAAAACACTGTGTGGAGCGTTGCAACTGTAATGAATCATTATCTAGGCAGTAAAAGAATTGTGAGGGGATCATGTTGGAAAATTTGAGACCACACCAACACAATACAAGTGCACTCAGGTCTTGATGATCCCCTTCAGTCCTTCATTCTCTAAATCTCAGAAGGATTCCCTCAAATGTCAGAAATAGTTTACAGTCAAGCTGCTTTAATCATCGTTGTAGTTTAGAAACAAATGGAGCCTAATCAAAAAAGCAGACTTGTGGTCCTGGTGGGAAGATCGGTTTCCTCTCTGTAATATTCGCATATCACCATTTGGAACGGTTTATTATGTCTGTCTGCTAAATGTAACACCTAAATAAATAATTCTCATCAGTTTCTAGATTACTTTTACATTCATATCATAAAAGACAAATATTACAGAGTGTCTCAGTATAATAACAAGAGAAGAACATTTAAAATCGAATTATGCCAAAAATGGAACCAGTGCATGATTTTTTTTTAAGTTTGCGTGTTAATGTAACAAGCATGCAGTGGTGTGACACACCCTGCTGCTTACACTGACTGAAGTAGTATTACACAAAGACAGAGTGCATACATGAAGATAGAATCAGACGCAGACAGAGAAAACCAACCTGTTCTCACTCCCAGACTCGTCACATATGGACGCATGGTCAAGACCATCCACGTCAGTGTGTTGAGAAAACACACAAACAACTACAAGTATTCCTCAGCTGATGGTCTGTGATCACATTAGAGCAATTCAGCAACACAAATACTATGTTCAACCTTCTCCAGAGGACATGTGTGTGTGCTTCTATAGTACACAGACATTATCCAGATAGTTTCCTATGGATGCTATCAAGAGTCTACAGCTTTGCTAGTGGCTCTGTGAGGCTGTACTTGAGCTAAATGCTAACATTAAATATTCAAAACATATCTACTCTTTTCCCCATAGTGAAAAAATCTGAATGTATGAATATTTTTCATTTCAAAAGTCCAACAAAGATGTCTCTTAATTCAGTCTCATGTTTCCACATCACACTGTAAGTAGCATACTGGACCACAACTGGCTTCCAGACTAGTGATTGTTGTTTTCTAGCATGGATGCTATCAAGAGTCTACAGCCTTGCCAGTGGCTCATTGAGGTTGTATACAGTGGTGCCTTGAACTAAATGCTAACGTCTGCACGACAACATGCTAACAATGAAAATGCTAACATGCTGATGTTTAGCAGTTTTAATGTTTACCATGTACACCAAAGTTTAGCATGTCAGCTTGCTAACATTTGTTGAGATATTTCAGTCAAAACTACACCTGTGAACCCATGGTGGTTCTAGAAGTAAACCCTCACCAAAGTCATATGTTTTGTCCTAATTGCCATGACTGTCTGTACAGAAGTTAATGGAAATAATGGAAAAATTACCATCCAGAGAGCTACGCTGCTAGTATTGATTATATTAATAGCTTATATTGTTTTGGTTTTTTTACCCAGATCTGGTTCAGGCCGTATTTATCATTCATTCCTGTTTAGACAATATTTGGGGCTTCTCTGAAAGATAACACTCTAAAGTGTCAAACTCAAAAGTCAGTGCTACTGGAATTGATATAAGTTTAAACACACTAAGAGTAACAAATTCATTTCTGCTTGAAAAAGTTTCCTAACAAATGCATGCAGACAAAGCTGGATATCGTTATTTTCAGAATTTTATTGGCTACACGAAGGGCCAGTCTTCAGCAAAATTGGTTGCAAATGGCTTGATATACCCACAAAATAATAGGGGCTGGCCCTTCATTACAGCGCGGGCTCTCGTTGGCTATTGTAGGCTGTGGACTGGACATGTGAGCTCCTATTGGGTCGACTTGCCAGTCGAAAGGTCAGAGTTCAGCGGCTACTTTGAATACAAGATATCATATTTGTTTACATCCAAAATTGGAGTTAGTACGGTTATAATGACATCCTAGCCACATCGGCCGGCAAATATAAAACGATGCAGTACCTGGGGATTTATTGATGGAATGTGCTTTGGACTAAATATTTTTACTGGATTGGATCATCTGGACCTTTGACAATGTACCTTTGTTGGAATATAATTGATCAGTGGATTAAGTTACTATCAGGCTTCAAAGGTGAGCTGCGTCAAGTTTGATTGTAATGATTGGTCTGACAGAGGCGCTGATTGTACCCGCTGTTGTGATTGTATCTTGAAATGTTTTGCAATGGTCGAATCACAAGGATTTTAGAGTATGAACTTAACATAGCAGTTTTGGGCACATAACGAAAGCTGTCATCAGGACCTGTCACCACCAGGAATGTTAAGAGGTTTTCACATAGCTCTCTAAAATAGTTTAAACCAATACTGAATATTATAACATTAATGAAGCTAAGATTTATTACAGAACTAGTGTATTAAACTGCATTCGCTTTAGCTCTGTGTTCCTACTAAATTTGCAACAGGGCGTAGCTTAATACTTAACCCTAGCTTTCTATGCATTTGACCAGCCGTAAGTTAGCTAAAAATCCATAGTCACGTAACATACCTTTCTTTATGGGTCCTTTGTTGTGGTGGTAATGTCACTGATTTTTGAGCCGCAGACCTTGCACACTGCTGTTTTTTTCTGCCTACCGTCAATGACAACATAATTTTTGTGTTTGTCTGTGTTGTACACATAAAGGTCTTTTTCTATGCCACTGGTTACAGAGATCCGGAGTGCTATGTGAAAGCACACATGGTTGCAGGATTATGCCGCAAACGGTGGAATGAATGAATGAATGTATTTAATAAAAAAATCAAGTCATTTTCAAGTCATCTGTCTCAAGTCTAAGTTAAGTGTCAAGTCTTGAATACCAAGTCAAAGTCAAGTCGAGTCTTGTCTGTTTTAGTCAAGCAAGTCTCAAGTCTTTAAATTTGCATCTCGAGTCTGACTCGAGTCAAGTCATGTGACTCGAGTCCCCCACCTCTGATGTAATATAATACATTTTAAGACTTAGTGGCTTTATTCCACTATTAACTTTTAAGTATTTAAATTTAAGTGGTGACTGGAGAGCTGTTTGTCCATTCACATCACTGATATGGCTCTGTATGTTTGCTCAAAACTATCATAAGTTCCAAATTGATTCTAATGGGTGTGGATTTATCAGGAAAACTGTAACAATGCTGAGAAAAACACAACTGTGTGTATCAAACTTTCCTGATATGATTAACCACCTTTCTGGGGAAAATGCTTTCAAATTCCATCCTGGAAAAGGTCAGTTCTGGAAGTGGGAGGGGTGAGTTTACAGCAGGGATTTTGGCGTTCTAGCTTACCGGGCTAAAGGCTCTGCCTTCTGTTGCACAATAAG